GACCATGACCAGATTACATGTTTTTGGGCATTAGTGAGTCAGGCTAAACGGCAGATGGTGACAACTGCCATACAGCCATTCAGAGTTGTGCAATTGTTWACTGTAGGTCAGAGCACAAGGAGACCTTCTAGAGGCCACTTGCATTGCAAATGTGTACGATTTGAAAACGAGACATAATGAGAGGACATTCAAATCATCTATTTACTGCACCACTGGATCTATGTCCTACCATTGTCAGCCTCAATAAACCTTGACACTGTTAATGTTGCGCCTTCGCTGGTTTTCGCAAAACTGTGTTCACTATCTTCAGATATTAAGTCGCCGTTAYGTCTCCACTCTGCAGTCCAGCTGCCACTGAAGTTGAGAAAAGKTGGTATTGGACCACAAGTCAAAGTCACACTTCTTCCCAAAAAAGGGGGATCAAATTGTATGGATGTAGGACCTTGAAAAAAAGGAAGACCAGTCAGTTATTATACAATCATCGGTACAGATAGTTACAAAAAAGATACAATTTTTTATTTCTAACAGAAACGGACTTACTGTCAAATATCATAGTAAAGTTTTCTGCCAGTTTTGTAAATACCCCAATTTCTAGTGCTTTGATTTCACTGTCTCCAAAAGAAGTTGCTGTGACGCTATAATCCACGATGGTGCTCCCGCTCCTGTAATATAGAATTGAGTTGAATTGTGTTGCTTGGAAGACAAAGAAAATAAATCCATAAAAATCTTGCTGTTTATTAGAGGATATAAATGCACAAAATACCAGTCATCTCGCAGCACATTGTATATTTTACTGAGCTACAGCTGCCTCAAGTTTTAGTTATTATTTTCATTGTGAGCGGTTGAGCCTTTCTTACTGATCTATATTTATTCCATTTGCAGCAATTTACAACAGCCAGGGACTGCTCACGAGAGAGTTCTACCATCTCAGCAAAGTTACACAGTGCAAGAACAGGTGATTTGAGCACAGAGTGTGAATGAACGATCAAAATGATTTTTAGGTCAAATAGCTGAATTACATTCTTCTAAAATTAAGATGTGACTTACCTGAATCTTGTTAATGTAGCTGATTTAAAGGTTGAGATGTGCTTCCTACTTTGCTCTTGAATCTGTTTGAATAAGTGACAAAGTCTGCTTGATATGAATTCTACAATATATTAACAACACTTAATGACACAGAGAGGGGAAAGAAAACAAATACTTACAGTGTCATTAACAGCTTGATAAACGTTATTGCTGGGGTTGTTGAAGGCAGGATCGTAATCCAAGTCCATGACAAACGAGAACTTTCTCTCTTCAACTGAAACA